ATTTTTGTATGTATAAATTAATTTTTAAAAAAAGTGTTTGACATCCAAACAAGGCCGCAAGGTAGGCATCCAATAAGCATACATACAAAAAACCCTTACTTTTTAATGTGAATTTATCCACCACGGATACGAAACAAAACGTATGTTAGGCAATAAAATGTAACGGAAACTAATAAAATCTGTTTTATCGCACTTTGTTCATGACATAAAACTCAAATCCACGGTAACGTTAAGCTAATGTTAAACGTACAATTTGTAAGAGTTTGTGTATTTAAAGGTCTATCTACATTCTGTATATAATTTTTTTTTTTTGTCTTATACATCCATTCGTATATATTGAAAAATCTTTTGTATTTCTAAACCATGTCTTTTGATTCTGTCACAGGAACCTATACATTATTACGTGAAGCGAAGACTTTGTAACCCCTTTCTAACAATATTGCGCCAAGGAATAAACGCGTTAAGCTATTTTTTATTTAAATTTCATTAGAAATACATTACAGCCATCATGAAACCTTTGATTATAGAGGTATAGTCTTTGACAAAGGAACCCTAATAAAGTTCAAACCTAAAAATTAAATGAATTATGGTCGAATTTTGGCTACTGAACTTCTCAATCTAAAAAAAAGGTCGTAATCTTTGATAAAACGAATTTTGATTGATTTTAATAGCGATTTTAATAATTAATTTGTATGACGAAATCACTATCACATATGAAATCGTTATGACTAGAACCAATCTTTTCATCATATGAATATGATTTAAAAGTAGCAATCATTTCCATGTCTAGTGTTGTGTCCAAAGTGCAGAAGGTGGAATGAAACATCCGATGCCATAAATGGGTTTATTGGAACTGAATATTAATGTAAAAAAAAATACTTACATAGCCTTTTTAATCAGTGAAGACATAAGTCGATACTGTATATTTCCCTACAAATCTGGCCTCGGTGGCGCAGTGGTACTGTATAGGACTGCTGTTCTGATGTCTTGGGTTCGATTCCCGGGTCGGAACAATTGTCTGTATGGTATGCAAATAATTGTTTCGGAGTTTGGGTGTTTTCTATGTATAATATGTATGTATTTACAAAAAAAAAGTATATAAGTATTCTATCAATCAATCTAGCTTGCATAATACAAGCTCTAGTTAGTTTGAAACTAGATGGCGTTGTATGTCAGATGTCCAACTCAAATTACATGATACAATAGTTTGTTAAAGTTGGTCAGTATTTTTAGCCGTAATGACGAAATGTTAGATGAAAAACCTTTTTACTAATTTAAGAAATAGTTAATATTGATTAGAACATATCGAAATATATTTATTCTATGGCTACATACCTACTACTGCATCAAATAGGTAAATACTAAGATTTTTATTATTTATCGTTAGAAACTTAAATTTTACGAGCTTTTAAAGTTATCATTCATACGGTATAAATGTTATGTTAGCGAATTATAGATTTTTATACGTATGTGCCACAAGTTTCGAATTCAGGGCCGTCAAACAGAGCAATCAAAATATTGTTGTCAATTAAAACAGCTCCCCCGCGCATATTGCGTCAGGATAGTTGTTTAATACAATTATATTGATCTGTTGTCAAGGGTAATTTTGCTATCAAATAATTGGTGGTAAATTACTGTCGGTCTGTTTTATTTAATAATCTAATTATTCATATTTCATATCTTTATAAATACTTGTGTAGTGAATCAGTTCGTGCACATGGATTTCTTTTCTAGGGTACACCAAAGGCCTGACGGAATACAGTATGGTTTTAGTCGTTTTGAGCCCGACATACCGTATCGTTTGGCCTCGGTGGGTGGAGACCTGATGGGGTTTCCACGCAAAAGAAGATGGACGAAGGTACCTACATACCTTCCTAGATGGTTCACATGCCTTTTGAACAGTTGATAGAACTATATAGAAAGTTCCTATATAGGTACAGCTGTAACGACGACGTTGCAATTAGGCATTCAACCGAAAATTGATAAAAATATATTTGCTTTAAAAAAATATTGTACAAATGTATTAACACAGCAACTTTCCTGTTATTGATACATCATTATTAGATCCAAAATTAACGCGATTCATAGGTATTATATACCTTTTGATTGCCTAACCGACATCATTCCATTGGCCGTGGTCACATCCAACCTCTGACAACATCAAGGCAATCAGAAGGCCAATTCTCGTAATAAAAGTTCGGTCACAATTCAGTTCCGATCAACCCCCGAACTCACAACTGTCATAAAAGGTATTTTCGTATTCGTATCGGGTTTTTGTAGGCGGCTCTTGCGACACCCACGGGATGAACAGAGGATGTGGCACTCCTAATACGTCACCACACGGAAGCGTTATTGGAAAGTGTATTGATTTGTCTATTTTATGACATTATCTAGTGATGTAGCGCGATTATTTTTGTCTACGAGTAGTTTATGAGAGACAGACAGAATTTTATAAAGTAGTATAGTTCAAGTGATTTTTTCTCTTCTGCAAAATGGCAATCTGTCCTAGAACAATAAGTTATAGATAGTTCAACTCAGTTGTGCGCACGGCCCCAACTTTCATTCATGTGGCAGTGACGCGGCAGTCGGACGACGACTGCCACACGAATGAAAGTTGTATATTTACAAGCCCACGCACACATAGGGCCGCGCGCACAACTGAGTTGAACTATCTATAAGAAACTTTTAGTCTGTTTGGTTTTTAATTAGCTTCCATCTCTCTATGAGAATCTGTTGCTGAGACTGGCGAAGTCACATCTTTTTAGCCTTTTGTGCTGTTGTCCACCTATTCCACTGTTTCAATGCTAGCTAAACAACACAGGCTACACAGGCCACTCACTCTTATACAATAATAGCTGACCCGCGCAACTTCGTCTGCGTCTCTCAATGGTAATCAATTTTCTCCGTTTTTGAAACATTCTTCATTGGTGCTCCGCTGATATTGGTCTTAGCGTGATGATATATAGCCTATAGCCTTCCTCGATAAATGGGCTATCTAACACTGAAAGAATTTTTCAAATCGGACCAGTAGCTACTGAGATTAGCGCGTTCAAACAAACAAACAAACTCTTCAGCTTTATAATATTAGTATAGATTCGGATCGGTCGAGCGACCGAACAGAGTGTAGTGTTACATCGTTATCACCGAGCGATAGTGTTGTTACCGGTTCGTAAATAGCTAATTATCGATAAAACATAAACACATCCATGTCTCTCGTGCATATTTACATTTTAGAGATTATATTTTCTGATGTGATTAATACAATTATGTGAATTGTGAGCTTTATTAAAATTGCGTCCAATCAAATATAATACAATTTCTACGGGTATTAACACATTAAAATTAGTACGTGTGAACTACGACCACATTGTTTTTATTGGAACGAAGTTCCTTATCGCGCGTTGTGAATTGGGGCTAGACGGAAAAAAATCTCAAAGTTGTAACGACACTTTTTATTTTGAATTGTCACTTGTCAGTCATTCAGCGCCATCTATAAATTTATAATTTAATTAGAAACCAACTGAAAAATATGTAGGTAATAGGCGCTTTCATAGATGGCGTTGTAATTAAAAGTGTTGAATCAGTTTTACTCGATCGTCACAACTTCGTTCCTATCGGCTTTTTTTTATTTATTGCCGGTTTTCTAAAGATCTGAGTTTAAGGCTATATGGAAGAACTCTTGTAATAACAGATATCTTACCTGGATACCTACAAGAAACAGTGTCATTTCCTAAGATCATTTCAAAACCTCTGACTTTTAAGTGTTGGCATTTGGCAAACAATAGAAGGATGAAACATTTTTAGTGATAAAAGCTAATCCAATGAAATGTATTCGACATATTTATACAAAATTAATCCAATTTAAAAACCAGTGATTAATAAAACTATTGGTAATATCAATGATTATTGTTGTAGTAATAAATAAAGTCTATTTAATATATTTTAATATCCACCCTTGTATCACTTTTTAAATCTGATTTCCCTAACTGACTTCTCCAATTTATCGATATTGCGTATCGATAATTGTTACAGCCACGGTTGTTTGCCACATGTAGAATAGAAAAGAATAGAATAATATTTATTTCATAATGTATTGTTGTATGAGATCAGTAGTGATAGCCGATTTTTCAGCAGATAGCAGACTATTCCGTATTGCGATAAGACGCTATTGCTACTTCCCTCCGGTCAGGCGATGGCCTGTGTTCCTCCTCTATGGTTGTGCCAAGACAAATAAAACAAAAGATATTGTTCCAATCTATTATTTACAAAGTACAAACTATTTACAACTATTTTATACCTTTTAACGAAATACGTACGTATAAATATCGTATACAAAAATAAATCGTCACCTTATTTGAATAAACAAACAATCTCCGCTTCGACGACACTAAATTATATATTAAATGCATATACATTTACAAAAATAACTGATTGCCAAAAAATTACAACGTGTTGTTCTTTTATCGTACTTAACAAAGGCGTTTGATTCTGTCTTCATAATGTTTTCTATAAAAATCGTCGTCTTCTATAAACTGCTTTGTTTTCCACAAATAGGATAAATTATTTTATATCAAACAGATTGAATAGGGCATTGTAGATTGTATCTGCTTTAATTGTATAAACTTAAACCCTGGAGTACCACAAGGCTCTATATTGAACCCACATCAATTTGCAGGTAGAATTTGCCAACTGTTGGCAATTTTAACTAAACGATAACGACTATAATTTAAAAATGGTTTTCTTTTCCATCTTTCTGTATCTGTATTATAATTAACTTATGTGTTAGATGGAGTAATAATTCAAGTTATTAATGTTCAAAGATTAAAAGTTTATAAATGTAAAAATCTCATAGTATATAGCTTCAGAAATACCAAACAATTGAGTATAGACAACTCATCACTTTATACTTTTGTTTGATTTGTAATAAATCTCATAGTTATCACTTTTCTTATAATATTGTTGGATTAAAAAACATCTGTCAGTTTATCATAACTAAGGAATCAATCAGAATTAATTTCTTCCGCGACTTGTTGCCATTTAGCCACCATACTTGATACTGATTTGTGTTTCAATCCAACTGACGCAGAAATTTTTACCTGAAAAAGAAATTACAAAGATTAATTAAACACTGTTCAAGAACATAGTACAGTCTGCGATGCCTAAGCGGAGCTTTGATTTGTGTAAGTGTACATATATAGTGTAAGTGTGACGTCAGCCTCGAGCGCGACGCGTCCTTTGCTTGGTTTAAACCGGTTTATACTGCTTTTTGGCAGTCGGCCTAAGGCACGGTGCGTCACTCGCGCGATTCAACTCCGCCGTGCGTCTTCCTCACTACACCTCTTGTACTGGTAGCAGCGTGACGTGTTTAATTCTATTTTTTTTTGTGTTCGATTTATTAGTGAAATGGCAACCAACACAAATAAACGAAGAATAAGAAAACCTTTAAATAGCCAAGTAAAAGATTTTGTAAAATTAAACAGACATAAACGATAAAGACATGTCAAGTGTCACTTCACTCCGTCATCGTCGTCAATTGATAGCGACATCGACGGGAATTCCGCTGTTCACTGTCAGGACAAATAATCTTCAAGAAAAAGAAATAATGTTCAATAAAGGTTTTCTGTCAACTCGTTTCAGTGTGCAATAGAAACAGTATCAATCAAATATTTCAACCTGTGATCATATTTAGCACCATTAATAGCTTTTACAAATAATTCACACTCACCTTCGTCTTTTTCTTGCTCACTTTCGTATCTTTATCCCGTTCTCTTTCTCTATTACTTTCCTTATGTCTTTCTTTCTGTTGCACCGTTTCGGGCGAGGCGGATCGGGTCTGCGGGGCCGATGGTATCTTTTCAACCTTTTCTAGTTCAGCGATATCGCTGTAGAAGGAAGCCAACGCGTCGCCTATATCTTCCTGCTGTAAATAATCGAGTTAGGTTATATATACATCGTATAATCCGTGTGGTGACGGATCATAAACACAGTGTCACCACCCCTATTCATCCCGTGGTTGTCCTAAGAGCACACTAAGGAAGCAAACTACGCAGGACAACGGCACTGCACAGAAAGGGAAAACTCGACACACAGATATAACGGCCTTCGTATATAAGCTCCTTTCTAAAAAAAGCCGTACGCCCAGCAGTGGACTATTAAAGTCTTGTAGAATAAGCGCAGGGAACACACTCACCGAAGGCGGCAGCGGTGGCGGCAGGTCGTCGCAGCCGGGCGGCGGCGGGTCGGCCCAGGCGGGCGGCGGCGGCGTGCGCGCGCGCCACGCGCCGCTCGGGAAGGCCGGCGGGGAGGGGGGGGCCGCCGCGCTAACACACGCAGCTACAGCGGGTTGGACTTCGTCCTACGTTGTTACGTACCAAATTTATTTACATTTTCCGTTTTAATCATACAAATATAAGCATAGAGTGAACGAGAGCCCCAATCTTGCAATACTAGATAGTTCCCTCTATCTCTTTCTAGTCCATGCCCACTTCGAGATAGTCAATCGCAGCTAAGCCAAACAGACACAGAGAACTTTTTTATCGGACATCCATCTCTTTCGTTACCAGTTTCGCTTCCACTTACAGACAGCTGTACCCGTTCTCTCTATGGTTTTAACGCATGACATAACAATTATATATAAATTCGAACTGAACATGAACGATCACGAAACGCACTTGAAAAAAGTTGTAAAAACTACTTGTAGGAGTCTATGAGTGAATGATGTGATATGAAAATGTAAATTATTGAAGCAATTTAAGAATACTAAACTAAAAACTAATGATATAACTTAGTCCGATTTTTAATAAGATATACTAAAATGGCATTTCATGGATTAAATATTCAAATAGTAGTATGCGTATCTGGATTCATAATTGTAATGAAATCTTCAGAATATAAACTTTTTTCGGTTAGGCAGTCAATAAATGAACTAAGTTTTTTTTTTTTTTTTTTTTTAAAAGACAACTCCCGCATTAGGAATATATCCTGTGTCGCGGGGGACTTTACAAACATACATGAAACGGACACAAAGAACACCCAGACTCAGAACAACAATTTGTGGATCACACAAAGTGTCGTCCCATGTGCGGTTTGAACCCACAACACTCGGCGCAGTAGGAAGCGGCGTGGCGACCACTTAAACCACTGCGCCATCTGTGCAGTCAAAGTTGAGCCATATTACAACGCTGTGCTTCACACTTGCAACATGAAAGTAAATAAGTATTGGAGCCACCACTTCAGTCTATCTAATAAAAAAACAGTCCAAAATCCTATTTAGGTTCATTAATAAAAAAAAGTTAGTTATGGGTAGATGAGCAGACAGGTCACCTGACAGAAAGTGACCATCGCCGCCCATGAACGTCTGCAACTCAGGAGTCACAAACGCGTTGCCAGCCTTTTAGGAAGGAGTACATTCTTTCTTGAATGTTTGAAAGTCGTTTCGGTCCGGAAATACCGCAGACATATAATAATTGGATGAAAACTTTAAAATCTCTTTTTAACTCTTGCGTTAACCATAAAACATCGCGGCCACCCGTTGGTATCGTATATCGTGTCTAAATGATATAAAAAAATAAACATACCTTGGTTTCTATCCCCGGGTGCGGTGGTGTAGTGCAAATATCCATGTCGGTGTGTGTGGTGGCTGGGTATTCCCATTGTACGAACCCGTCAGACTCCCGACGATAGCAGTACCGCCCTTCAGACCTGTATACACAAATACACAACCGTACAAACAAATGTAGTTGAGAGAGATATAGTACGCCCGGTAGATTTAGATAGTTTTGGCTACCTTAAGAGGTAAATACTGTCACAATAAGACACATTATAATTATTTAAAAAAAACCGGCCAATTCGAGACACGCTCAATGTACCTTAGTCAAAATATTGTCTTCACAAACCCTTATTATTTTTTAAAGACCTATCCAATGATACCCCACATCATGGGATGAATGAATATAAAAATAAACACTCCCACTTTAAAGGTGCTAGAGGTTCCCTAAAACAAAATATTTTTCAAGATTTTATTTTACCACTTTGTCGGCGTGATTAGTATGTTCATGCACTAATAGTCTGTGAGATTTAGTGTGAGCAGACTTACGGACAGACGGAAAGTTCGACATGACGAAACTGTAACGCTTCTGTTTTGGCTGTGACAATAATATATACAAAGTTATTGAAGGAAGAAACTGTTTTAATATTTGTCTAATCTTCCTGATAAAACAAAAAAATTAATAGACTATTATAAAAAATTGTTAATATAAATATATTCAAGTTGAGAGCGCGTACGTGATGATGATGAAAAATTTGCTTGACTATAGACCACATATTATAAAACAAAAGCAGGGATGGTACTGCTACTTATTACCAGAAGCCGAAGCAGTAAAAAAGACCTATATAAATCTTTTTTTTTTGGGTTCTCTTCACATATTTAGATAGGCTATTTTTGAACAAATGACTTTTGATTTCATCCAACTGATGAAATCAAAAGTCATTTCAGTCAGTCAGTCAGCCTAAATGTTAGCAATTCTGATTGCTAAGTCAAACCTCGTGGATTTAATTCCCACCCAGGACAAATATTGTGTGATGAGCACACTCATTTGTTTTGTGTCTGGGTGTCTTTTATCTATAACATGTGTGTAATTAATAATATAGAAGTGTGGCTATCAGCGGTCTGGTTACCATAGTAAGTCTCAAACTTAGTTTAGGATCAGAAGACCGTGTTTCATGTGTTAAGTATTAATAATTATTATTAAAAGATCAACAAATTAAATACTGTAAAGTACGGATCACAGTTAATAACTGACTGACTGCACGGATGGCGTAGTGGTTTAAGCGGTCGCCACGCCGCTTCCTACTGCGTGAGTGTTGTGGGTTCGATCACTACATGGGACACTACTTTGTGTGATCCACAAATTGTTGTTCTGAGTCTGGGTGTTCTTTGTGTCCTTTTCATGTATGTTTGTAAAGTCCCCCGCGACACAGCATATATATTCTTTATGCGGGAGTTGTCTTTTTTAATTAATTAATTAATAAAAAAACTTTGCTTAAAATAACACTTGAGGTAGCCATATTACTTTCTAAAAATACGGGGCCAACTTAAGACAAAAATAAAACCATAGAATATACTTTAACCCGTTCGCCGGATTTGTACCCGTTGTCAATAAAAAGTATTAATTTCAAGATGACAGAAACAAAAGACCATCATCTATACACCATCTCAGCGCATAATAACCTATTCCCTAAACGTCCTTTCTCAAAAAATCATTTTCTTTATATATCCTTTCTTAGAATGTCCTTTTATCTAAATATTCTTTGCTCCAAATGTCTTTTTCAATATGTAATTTGCTCAAAAAGATTCTTTCTCAAAATGAACACTACAGGTTACATAATTTCTTCACAACAATAAATAAACTTCAAACAAATCACGCTCGCACGGGCTCGTGCGGTGTTGGTCGCAATACCAACCTAAACTAACCTAGTTTCATTCCCTATGAGCTTGTTGGATTGGTACAACTATAACGCAAGCAGTTCGGTACTGGCACTTGCTGATAAAACAACATATTGGGAAAATAACATTGAGATAAAAAGATATTTTGAGAAAGGACATTTGGAGAAAAGGACCTTATAATAGGACATTTGGGGAATGGGATATTCTGCTCTGAGACTATACACAACGTTCTCCGACTCGGCATTCTGGAAAAGACCAAAGAGTAGAATCTTGAAAATGAAAAATAATAATTATACAATAGTTTTTGTATCTCACCAATAGTCGAGCTGTGTGGTCGTCCGCGCGCCGCCTTTCCAATCTTCGCTCTTCATAACTTATAGCTAAATGTTACTATATTTTTTACAATGTTTGGGAAATATAGTATTAAAAAAACTCAGTATGTATTCGAATGATATACTTTTTATTATTTTTATATCAGTCATATCACATGTCAATATTAAAATCAAATATTGTTTGTTTTTCTTACCTTCAAACTACACTTCTAAACAGACTAGATGGATCACAGAAAAATACATTCATAAACATATTAAGTTTAAACATTTGTCAGACAATTTTTACTTAGAACTAAAAGATTCCAATATCACATGAATTTGTTCCAAAAACTTTTGAAAATTTTGAAATAAACATAATTGAGTCAAAAAAGTATTTTACTGTACATGTTATAATTAAGAAAGAAAATAGTAAGATATTTCAGGTTATAAATAATAGGTAAATATGACTTTCTATTTAGAAATAACATTTTAAATTTAATTTTAAAGTTTTCAGTTTTTTATTTGTTCGACAAAAATGCGAAACGCAAGCCGCCATGATATTACGTCATCGCGTCAGTAAAAGACCAAGTAAATTGTGCGATAAAGTTCGTTTTGAAAAGTTTGAAACTGTATTTAAGCCGTATATTTTACTTAAATATTAACGTGTACAGATAGTACAAATTTACGCAAACTAAACCCGTTCACGATAAGAAATGAACTCAAATTAAAATAATCTTCAACAATGGCATTTATGTTTAAAAAGGTTTTCGTCCTTTAACCACTTAAGTGACATAACGGGATAGCTGATATATGTACATATATATATTATGGGTTTTGGTAGCATCATGTAAAATAAATAATGAATTTTCATGTATTTTCGACATAGCAGTCGCATACAAATATGTAACTATCTGGCAATTATAAATCAAAACTTGAAGCAACAGTCTCTCTTAAATTGAGTCTTTTGAATAAACCTTTATCTTGCAAAAAGAAGAACATTTGCAATATATTTATGTAAGAGGAAATACCAATGAAAATAACCAACAAAATACCAATCAGAGGAATAGCCTCTGTAATGTGCTGCTAAAAGCAACCCCAATGCAATGTCTGTACGATGAAGTACAGCTCACAGGAATGGGCGCCCCTGTAATGTGCTGCTAAAAGCAACCCCAATGCAATGTCTGTACGATGAAGTACAGCTCACAGGAATGGGCGCCTTTGTAATGTGCTGCTAGAAGCAACCCCAATGCAATTTCTGTACGAAGAAGTACAGCTCACAGGAATGGGCGCCTTTGTAAAGTGCTGCTAGAAGCAACCCCAATGCAATATCTGTACGATGAAGTACAGCTCATAGGAATGGGCGCCACTGTAATGTGCTGCTAGAAGCAACCCCAATGCAATTTCTGTCCGAAGAATTACAGCTCACAGGAATGGGCGCCTCTGTAAAGTGCTGCTAGAAGCAACCCCAATGCAATGTCTGTACGATGAAGTACAGCTCACAGGAATGGGCGCCTTTGTAATGTGCTGCTAGAAGCAACCCCAATGCAATTTCTGTACGAAGAAGTACAGCTCACAGGAATGGGCGCCTTTGTAAAGTGCTGCTAGAAGCAACCCCAATGCAATATCTGTACGATGAAGTACAGCTCATAGGAATGGGCGCCACTGTAATGTGCTGCTAGAAGCAACCCCAATGCAATTTCTGTCCGAAGAATTACAGCTCACAGGAATGGGCGCCTCTGTAAAGTGCTGCTAGAAGCAACCCCAATGCAATGTCTGTACGAAGAAGTACAGCTCACAGGAATGGGCGCCGCTGTAATGTGCTGCTAGAAGCAACCCCAATGCAACGTCTGTACGATGAAGTACAGCTCACGGGAATGGGCACCCCTGTAATGTGCCGCTAGAAGCAACCCCAATGTAATGTATGTACGAAGAAGTACAGCTCACAGGAATGGGCGCCTCTGTAATGTGCTGCTAGAAGCAACCCCAATGCAATGTCTGTACGATGAAGTACAGCTCACAGGAATGGGCGCCTCTGTAAAGTGCTGCTAGAAGTGACCCCAATGCAATTTCTGTACGAAGAAGTACAGGTCACAGGAATGGGCGCCACTGTAATGTGCTGCTAGAAGCAACCCCAATGCAATTTCTGTACGATGAAGTACAGCTCACAGGAATGGGCGCCTCTGTAAAGTGATGCTAGCAGCAACCCCAATGCAATGCATGTACGAAAAAGTACAGCTCACAGGAATGGGCGGCAGGAATGGGAAATAGCGGCAATAAGGCGAAAACACTGAGAGCGCCTAAGAACGCCGCCTAATAGATTTTAGTTCCTTCAACACAGATAGCACAGATATGCAAACGTACTTGACGGACTCGTGAGTTTAGCCAGGTAAGGTAAATAGACCACGTCGACGGCAGAAGGCCTATAGTTGCCGTCGGCTAGCCACATACCATGTAAACTTGTGGAAGTCCAGCGCCAATATTGAGCCCACTTAATGCTAGAACCCAGTACAATGTTTGTAAGAAAAAGTACAGGTCACAGACAACGAAAACGCAATGCCGGCAAACCCCAGCTACTAAGGAAGCATCTCCTTTCCAAGTCCGCTGCCCAAGTATTCTATATCTCTTTTTTTATCTAAATTCCACATCGCCCAACCCATATTTTAACAAACATTTTCGTCTCACGATGGAATATTGTCAAGTCTAATGTGGCGAGAAAGGCAACCAAACGCAGATATGCAAACGGACTTGTGAGCTGAGCAAGGTAAGGGTAAGACTAGGGCAACGGTAATGGACGGGTATGCAACTCTGGACCACGCCAACTACTAAGATTTAAAGATATTCCGAAGAGACATAAAAAAAACAATATTGAGACCACTCAATACCCAAAAGGTGCCATGCAAAGCTGTAGTGTCTCTAACCAGCTGAAGTACATAGAATTCTTGTTGAGACTTATAGTCGGATACGACATGCAGTGACTGGTTTCGACGCTTCAAAAACAATGATTTTGAACTTGAGGATAAAGAACGTTGTGGCGCACCGAAAAAATTTGAAGATGAAATGTTGGAGGAATTACTCGATCAAGACCAATGTCAGACGCTAGCAGAACTCGGAAAAACATTACAGGTAGATGAGTCAACTGTTTCAAAACGTTTAAAAGTTTTAGGAAAGATCCAAAAGCAAGGACATTAGGTACCGTATGAATTGAAGCCGAGAGACGTCGAAGGTCGTTTTCTCACGTGTGAATTACTGCTTCAACGGCAGAAAAGAAAAGGTTTTTTGCACCGCATCGTAACTGGCGATGAAAAGTGGATACACTACGATAATCCAAAGCGTAAAAAATCGTGGGTTAAGCCCGGCCATGCATCAAAATCGTTTACAAAACCAAATATCCATGGTTCAAAGCTTCTTCTCTGTATTTGGTGGGATTAACAGGGTGTTAATTCATTATGAGCTGCTCCAACCGAATGAGACTATCACGGGGGATCGCTATCGACTTCAATTAATGCGTTTAAGTCGAATCTTAAAAGAAAAACGGTCGCTATACGAGCAGAGACACGACAAAGTGATTTTCTGACATGACAACGCTCGGCCTCATGTAGCAAAACCAGTGAAAACCTACCTGGAAACGCTTCAATGGGAAGTTCTACCCCACCCGCCGTATTCACCTGACATAGCCCCTTCTGATTTTCACCTATTCCATTCGATGGCACATGGCCTAGCTGACCAGCGCTTTCATTCTTATGAAGCTAAAAAATGGATCGATTCCAACTTGAGACGTGTTCTCATACATTTGTTAACGCTTAATACGATTCGTCATCCCGTTTAATACGCCTACATTAGCACGCGTGTGCGTCTGTCTTAGCGGTGCGGTCAAGAGGAAGAAGAACTCGTGATACTGCAGGGTTTTCCTGGATATTCTTCCATTGATGACAATGTACTATAGCACAGCAATGTGTTAAATTACATTGAAAATGTCGTAATTGCTAATGCATCAAAATCTTTTTAACCAACCAAAATAAGTGATTACTTTAACCCTTTATAAGGCTCTGGCCATATATTGGACATCATACATTGAACGAAATATCTTAAAAAATACTTTGGCAACACAGTTTAGCCGTGGTTTATTTTTGAATGTTATGAGAAACGGAACGTAGAAAAAAAAAAGTATGGCGCCATGTTAGTTCAAACAGATGTTTGATGTCATCTGTCGAAATTGTGTCGATTTTCATAGTGCTACGTAAATCTACAAAAATCTTCGAAAAAAATGAGTGGACAGGTAAGATTTGAATTAAAATTTGTTAGATATATTCTAAATTTGATGTAATACAATATATTTTTGCGGATACGAATCTTTTTGATACTAATTTGGAGTTTTGTTATGACGTCCATATATTGCCCAGAGCCCGTCTGTCAAACATTTTTTTTGGTTACAGAGAAAAGTGATTCCTTTAGACAAAATTGAGGAAACTTTAGAGAGTCTTTTTGCATTATCGGATGGCGAGGAGTCTGAAGATGGTCACGAAAGTGATGATAGGGAAAGTGAGGTCATATTCTTGCCACCAAGTTCATCGGACCTTGAGGATATTTTAGCTTCTCCGTCATCTTCAAATAACGGGAATGCCGCCAATTTTGAACCAGAGGTTCCGTAGTCCCTTCAGTAAGCGGAATTTCTATAGGACGAAATCAATCGGAAACAGCTGATGGTCCAAACATCAATGTGCCGATAAACAATAGTCCTGTGTCGTTTTCCATTTCTGATTCTGAAGATGAAGATTGAAAGAAAGTACTTTTCCCTCACGATGTACCAAGGAACAAGTTTGATGATATTCCTCTAAAGTCTCACCAGAATATTCCCAAAAAAGTGGACCTCATATTTATTCTCGTTTTATTTTTCACTGACGAAGTTTTATCTCTAAGTGCAGAGCAGACAAATTTATATGCTGCCCAAAATAAACAAATAAACTGGGTAGATGTCTCAAATGAGGAAATACAAGCTTTTGTAGGAATGTTGGTTTTGATGGGGGTGCACCCTCTACCCAATATTGACTTGTTTTGGTCAACAGATGCATTTTTTCTCGAAATGTCGACTCGTTTCTTTTTTTGCTCGTCGGTTAACATTCTCGGTACCCAACGCGCAGAGACCTTTTTCATATGCATTTTGTTGACAATGATTTTTTGAACGCTGCCATAGGAGATCCCTGTGACCTCAGCTACATGCCTTACGGTCACCCTTCGATCGGCCAACACGATATCTTCCACTTTTTTGACGTTTTCTCCAGTAAGGGACGTGGAAGGGCGTCCCTCGCGATGTTCATCTTCAGTGGAGGTTCTGCCCAGCTGAATTCCTTTGCCCAGCTTAAATTCCTTTGCCCAGCTTAAATTCCTTTGCCCAGCGTGCGACTGTGGAATATGGAGGAGCAGACTCCCCCAATGTTTCCTCTAAGTCGCTGTGTATGTCTTTGGTAGACATTTTTTTCAGGCAGAGGTACTTGATGACAGCTCTTATTTCATTTTTCTCCATTTTGATGTTTTCTCTTCGACAGTTCGTATTCAAATGAATGTATCTCCCGGTAATGGTGTCCTATTTATACATTTTTTTGAAGCTGAAGTAGTGGATATATAAGCAAGCAGAAAAAAAATAATTTGGGTTTTTGTGCGTTCTAGAAATACTCGATTATCATTACTTATTGATCACCCCTCGTACATCTAAACGACAACACGAAAATGCCTCAAAGAGGAGAACCTGAATATGATAAACTCTATAAGATTCGGCCACTAATAACCTCAATGAACACTGCTTTTCAAAAGGGAGCTAGGAATTCGTCATCCCAAAGTATTGACGAATGTATGGTCAAGTTCAAAGGGCGCAGTACATTGAAGCAATATTTACCAAACAAGCCGATAAAAAGAGGCTTCAAGATATGGGCGAGATGTGACAGTAGCACGGGTTATTTATTTGAATTTCAGGTGTATACGGGAAAAAAAGACTGAATTTGGTTTAGGAGCAGCTGTGGTAAATAGTCTTTGCAAAGTACTTATTGAAGAAAAGATAGAAAACGCACATGTAACATTTGATAATTTCTTTGCTTCGACCAAACTAATGCAAAACTTGTATGAGAATAATATATATTCTACAGCAACTGTTAGATCCAATAGAACTAACTTACCCCGGACACTAAAAAATCTTTCTAGGGGTCAATATAAGTGGCGGGTTAACCGAAATGTAGCATGCTTTACATGGATGGACACTAAATTAGTCAATATTCTTAGTACCGCCTTTCATCCTAGGGAAAAAGTAACATGCATGAGAACGCAAAAAGACGGAAGGAAACCAGAAGTGCCTTGCCCTCTGGGTGTTTTGGAGTATACCATAAGGATGGGGGGTGTCGATCGCTTTGATCAAAAGCGAGGCACCTATCCTGTAGCTAGGATGAGCAGGAGGTGGTGGATGAGACTATATTATTTTATGGTGGATGCAGCAATTACGAATGCATACATTTTGTATGCTCAAAAGTGCGTTACCCAATGTCTACTTTACAGTTCCGTACACTTCTCGGAAGAAACTTGATTGGCACTTTTACGAGCAGAAGGAAGAGGGTATCGAACTTGCCATCTTTTGTATGCAAAAGACCAAAAGTTGATAGCCCGCAGAAGGCAAAGTATGGTCTTCCAGATGATCTACGGCTTTCAGACGTTGGATCCCACCTCCCCGGTCCACTAGACTCTTACAGACGATGCAGGGCTTGCAGCAGCAATGCTAACAGCAAAAAATCGAAGATACAGTGCATACGATGCGAGGTAGCCCTATGTATTGTTCCATGTTTTGCCAACTTCCACAAGCCGTAGTACCAAATAATAGACACCATGTACCGTTTTATATATATGTAAAGAATATCACTACACTAGTGTCGTTCCTTATCTTTATGGTTTTATTATCTATAGATCTCTAATAAGTAGATGGCTGGTCAATGACACCGACTGGCATTGAGGGAATTTTCTAGAATTGAAAGTGACGTTATGTTATTTTAGAAACACATGAAACAGTAAATAGTTTCCTGTATAAATAAAAGGGAATAGATTAACTAAACTAGAAGTAAAGGCATTAAATGTTGTTTTTTGTTATTTCAGGTAAGTTACTCTGTTTAGAATATGAAAATTATGTTAAAACTTTGTATTTAATTGTGTTGTGAATAAAAGTAATTTTTGTTATTTCAGAAAACGCAAATTTCGTCTTTATTTCATTTTAAGGCATATTACTATTATATATATGTATATACTTTTTTTTCCGAAATTTCAATAAAGTGCTCATATACTTATGATGTATACCACTATAAGTTTCATTTCTGTACCTTCAGCCGTTTCTTCTGCCTTATAAAGGGTTAAGTAAAGTAACGTAAATCCCGTATAACACGCTTTCTCGCTTAAGACGCGTTTTTAGTTGGGTCCCTGTGAAATCGTCTTAAAGGGGTGCTACTGTATATCTATCGAGTCCGCTGCCGAAGTATCCTATACTTCTTTTTGTATCTAAATTCCACATCACCCAGCCCATATTTTTTCATTCATTTCCATGTCTCCATATAGAATTTTGCCAAAATCTAATGTGGCGGGGAACCAAATGCAGATATGAGTTGCATGCAGTTGTGAGTTCAGCAAGGCAAGGTGGTTGACAAAGGGAGACGGCAGAAATCGCGGTCGCAACCTTCTGCGAGGAGGTAATCTCGCAGAAGGAGGCGGCGGAGAAGGCCCGGGAGGACGACCTCCACTCGGACCTGATTCGCCGCCGTCGAACCGGGCGGCGGAGGCCTCATGCCGCCCTGAGTATGGCCGCGGGTGGACGTGATGGATTCTCCCCTCCACCCGCATTAGTTGGCCAGCCGCGAGGGGGCGGCGTCCGCGTGTGCCGGACGTCGCCTAAAAAGAGGAAAGTTTTGAGACGGAGCCCGCAACAGGAGCGGGCCGGCGCTGGGAGGGGTCCAGAAGGCGATAACTACCTGGATCTCTCCTAAACTGGAAGCGCAAAGAGGGCACACCGGGTGGTTTTAGTCGGTTCGAGTCCGACACACCGCCCCGTCGAACGAGAGCCCCGGTGGGGTGACGGTCTGAGGGGATTTCCACACGTAAAAAAAAAAAAGGGAGACGGCAGAAGACGTATAGTTGCCATCGGCATAGATATATTATGATCACGCAAGTATACTACTCCGAATTTGATAAAGGCCAGAGGACAACTCAGATTTATAAATGACTATTTGAAAAGATGAAATATTCAGTCCAATCCGCACAACGATTCAATTGGCGCGGTCATATACGGAGCAACTTCGCAAACTCTAGGAGTGGCGGAAAACTGAGCCCGGACCTTAAACGCAACCCAGGTAAGTTCTGTCGATTCGCAGCCATTTTATAATAACTACATAGACGGAAATCTCACGTACGGGATGCAAATACTCAATCTGATACTAAAATATTCGATTACTAATTATATTACATAACTAAACAAAATTCTGCTTTGACAAATAAAGAATTTTAATGTCATTTCATATCGGATATTAATAAAATCTAGGTATTTATTTCTTTAATAGAAAATGGGAACATTTAAAATTAAGTGCCATAAATCGTAAAACACAGCATATATATACATATATGTAAAACCATTGAATGTGATTTTTTTTCAAATTACATACCGTAACATTTTTTTTTATTGAGAGCATAAGGAAGTAGTAAATGCAAAAATGGTTAATAGTTTTAAAAGAACAAAGCTTTTAAATCCGTAGTTAGTCCTATAGCCTATCACTATCGTGCTACACAATCGACTAAGACAATTATTACGAACTTCTGATTCGGTTTCGTTTTAGGCCAAATTTGGAGGCAGTTTTTAGTAAACGTAGCAGAAACATAATTATTATTCACGGCACGTTTAAACTATTTCATTCATTAACCGTTTCTAATCCGCTAATCGATTCGGTTTAACGATTCGATGTGATGCGAATCGATCGTATAGAATCGATATTCGTTCGGAGGTCGCAGGCGAGCTCTCTAGGGATAAACGAGGTCGCTCCTGTGAACAAAACGTAGTACGGCATCGCGTCCCGACACCGGCGAGTGAAGTTCGAAGCGGTAGTGAGACAAAGGCGGGTGAGGTGGGGTGAGGTGGGTGAGGTGGCGCGGCGCGTACCTCAGGAAGGAGCAGGTCCAGCCCGGCGGCGCGGCGCGCAGCTCGTGCGCGGCCAGCTGGCGCCGCGCCGCGCCCGCCCAGCGCCGCCAGTAGCGCGCCGACAGCGCGCCCGCGCGGAACGCACTCAGCAGCATCTGCCGGGGAACGAAGACAAATAATATAGATATGTACTGTCTCATATCTCTCGAACGGCGGTGCAGTGCGGTGGCACACCACCCGTGTGGCACCCTATACTTCTAATTAATTAAGGTGCGACACCGCACTGGACCGTCAAGGCATTATGTGGCTTCACTCTAAAACAGCTACACCGTGTTCTTTCCTCATCGTTCCTCGAACGATCTTATATCACAAACACTCCTGTGTGAACCCATTTCAACAGTCAAGATCGAGAAGAGATCTATGTAAGATATCAAACATCTAGTATCATATTTAATTTGACTCATAGATGAAAGCCCTGACTTTCCATCCGTTCCAATAGTTCCCACAGATACAGAAAAACCAAAGAAAAATTATCAACATCGAAAATAAGATGTTTTACTTAAAAACACATACATTGGTAATTTTAATTTCTCGACTCATTATACCAAAACTAAATTTTATGATAATTTAATTTGTTTATTTAATATTTAACTATTCACTCGTCTTTTATCAAAAAAAATTTAAAACACTGAACATAATTCTAAAAAAATAAAATGTAGCGATATAATCTTTATATAAATTAATTTAAAGTAATATTTACCTGCATTTGTACCAACATCTCTTGCACCGGCGTCAACGTACACGGTTGCAGCTGATTCAGGTATTTCAGCTTCATTTCAAGTAATTCCGTCATGTCATCCAAATCTTCATCTTTCTTCTCCTCGTTTAACGTTTCACCCTTTGTAAACATCAAACCGTTTCCATAATTGATAGCGTTCTTTGGGCTCTCTGTATTGTCCTCATCTTTGCTAAACCCCAAACCTACTCTCTCGCTCGAAAAGCCTTCTATAAATTGGGAATATTTAGTAGTATATACAGGTTCTTTCTTTGGAAGTACCGAGTTGCTTATTCTCAATTTTTTCTTATTAACATGTTCAATACGTTCACTGCTATCAGTTAGATATAAATTAACTCCTTTTTTCTCAGTGACGTCAACTTTTTTCTGTTCATTATCTACTTCTATTGGAACTGGAGGCTCTTCAATGTTTTGATAACTCGGAAATAGTGGTTTAGATTCGATCGGTGGTGTTCCGTCTCTTATAGGAGAATTTTTAGCACTGACGTTATTTGAGTTAACTTCTGTGTCTATCTTCGCTTTAGTTATCTTTGGTAACTCTTTTTTCTCGATTTCTTCTAATAAATCGTCTATATTTGCATGTGACTTGGATGGTTCATCAGTCTTGAGTGTTGCAGGGCCGGATCCAGTTTCTTCTTGAATCATTTGTTGCAACTCCTTAGGTATTTCTCCACCTAGTTTTTCAAGCAGTTTTGCTTTGTCTTTTAGTTTCAACAATAAAGTACTTTCATCTTGACTGTCATCATCATTAGTTTTTGAGGTTTTTACCTTAAATAAATATGCTTCATTATTATTGAGGATAGCTGTGATATTGTTGACTATAGGTACTATAAAGTGGATAACATCACCTCAGATTGAAAACTTTAGACCATCACATTGCCTCAACAAGTCAATTATATTGAAAAACATGACCATATTCAAACTTGTCACATGAGTGTGACCAATGCAAAAGCAACCATGTGAAACCATCATCATCCCAGTCAGACAAAGATAATTTCAAACAGTTATGCAACAGAAATTAGTAAGTTTTTCAATTAATTGAAAAGTTTTAGCTTCTTCAGGCGCTTTGCTCATCATAGGTGACTTTTAAAAGGTTATAATAATCTATACAAATAAATAAAATTAAAGTCTGTTTGTAATGTCAAAATAATAGGTTTTCTTCATGCTCACATGGTTATTTGCACGATATCTATGCCTAAATACCAGTTTAAATATTTTGTCTGTTTGTTTGTAACAGGTGATCTCTAAAAGGGCTGGACCGATTTTGATATTTTACTACCGTTACCTGTCTATATAAGGAGTAACTTAGGCTCTTATATCTCTCAGAAAAATCCTATAAAATATTGCCTGATCCGGAATCGAACTTGAGGCCTCATAGACTGCAGTCGCGTGCCGTACTTCATCATCACTAGGTCGGTCGCGGGTACCAGCTAGTACATAATATGAATATTCGTATTCTATTTCCCCTACTAAACCTCAATACATTCAGAAACCTGATTGTGTCAAGGAGAATCAATTGTTATTACAATATATGATATAGCAAACCTCAACAGAACTATTTTATCGAATTAACAATTTTTATAAAAGAAATAAATAAGAAATATAATTTTCAATTCAATTAAAAAAAAATCAATTTAAAAATAAAATTGTCAAGCCATTTTTTTACATAACATAGATGAATGTTATGTAAAAAGAGTGGTGAAATCTTGTGTAATACATGTTTTATTTACACAAGAATTCATGTCTCAACATGTTCAAACATTTTAAATTTATTAAAAGACTGCAACAATGGCAAATAATGTAAGCATGGCATTGACTGCACAGATGTGAAGATATATTCCTAATGCGGAAGTTGTCTTTTTAAAAAACGAAAATGAAAAAAATTATATTACAATATGAAACTTACCTCAGTCACAGCATTTTGTGTCTTATTAGCAGGTGAATTAACAACATTATTTCTTAACTCTGGGGGCAGTTCAGGGCCAATTGGCACAGCATAGTTCAAATTTGGAGGTAGGGCTGGCCCATACTCTTGAGTTTTTATTTTTTGCTTTCTCTGTGCAGTAGTTTTAGGTTGCACTTTAGGAGTGGGTGGTTGTGGAGGCTTGACTGGTGTGTCTGCCTCATCATTGGACTCCGAGTCCGAATTATGGTACGAGGTAATAAGTTCTATTTTCCTGTAAAAACCAATGAATAGTAATTAAGTAACTACTTAAACAGTTATAATTTGAACTTTAACTAAATTTTATGTTAAAATTAGGTTCAAAATTAAGAGTTACACGGTTAAGGAACAATATATAGGAGTCCAACTTTGTCTATTAATATTGTTTAACTAAAATTTAAGGGGAAGTGTACACAAATTATAGGGTGATTTATAATATGCCTCTTTTCACCAACAATAAGCAGCAGCAAGTCGATTGTCGTCAACATGTCAATGTGTTTTAAAGATCTCAACACTACGAGTTTATTAAATAGAAAAAAAAGGTTTTGCAATTTATTTATTATGGACTGAGACCACTTACTCTTCTTCTTCATCATCACTATGGGGCCGTTTCTTACTGTTTTTGTTGTTCTTTCCTTTATTATTAATAATATTAGAATCATTCTTCTTAGGAGTTTTTGGAACAAATTTGGATGTAGCCTTTGCCTGTGTACTTTGTTTTTCTGCTAACGCCTGTTGATACATTTGCCATTCTTCTGCTGAAACTTCTCCTGATCCTGAAAATGAGATATATATTAAAAATAATATCCATATCTATTGACTAAAGGCTGGGGCAGACATACTGCCAGACGGGACGGCAATGCAGTATGGATTGAAATTGACTACAATACAACCTCCTCTTAACATTCCATCGGGTCATTCCTTCCACAGCATTCCCCAAACTTTCTGTTTTAGAATAATTCCAAATTATATTTACCTGATGTAGTTAACTGTTGTTGAGCGACCTTGAGGGCAAGCAAGTACTCAGGGGGTGCTTCCCAAGTGACAGCATTTGTTTGTTGATTCCAATAATACGTGAAACCACTGGTCTCATCATAGCAAGCCGACCAAGCTGAAAATATATAAACATGTGCATGAATATGCTGACTATACAACAGAAACTAAATCCATACTTCCTCCATTATTGATTAATAATCCTCTAAGATACATACATTTTAACAAGATTTTAGAAGAAATTATTGTTAGTGAATATCCATAGTCAAAATCGATTTAGTATTTTATTCTGAAATTATATGTTAACATGCTAGGCAAGTCTAGACAAGTATGTAAATGGGGTAAATGGATGCTTGGCTTGCGTGAGCTTGCCATTGATCCGAACTAGAGGCGTTTTTTGAACACAGATCAAAAGAAACTTGAGTCAAGCGCTTACGACATATTTACATGTTGGCACGTGCTTGTTCCCCACTGCTCAACTTGATAATAGTTGAGGAGTAGGGAACCAACATTAAGTCCTAATGTTCTACTGGTTGAGCAGTTTAGCTAAGCAGGCAATAGCAATAGAATTTAAAAAATTGTCAATCCAAAAACAATAGCCAACGAACTTCGACATCCATGTCAGCTATTTTTGCCTGTCCGGATCACACTACCACTCTCGCAAGCGTGTAAATGGCATACCAGCGTTTTTAAAGAATCTGAGCTTGTGGACATTTGCCGAGCCTCTGCAAGCATGGTACACATAGCATAAACTGTATGCCAAATCCTTTATGTTATAGATATACTCATACATTCAGCCTTTATCCTTAAACAGGTAGACAAATGTGTATTACATACCAACACATTTGCTGACTATAAGTTTAGTTCCACTTATGAAAAGGTGGCAAACTATTGCTGTCTACTAAACATATAATATATTTTTAATAAACATACTTATATATTTCTAAATTCATACATATTAGAGATAAACTACACCCAAACACAAAACAAATTATTGTACTCATCACACAATATTTGCCCTGGGTGGGAATCAAACCCACACCTTTGGGTTAGCAGTCAGGATTGCTACTACTATTACAAACTACTGGCCCAACGAAACATCAGCATCATCAGCTTCTTGTCCAATTCCCAATTGTACTTCAAGTTATTGTGATGTGATTTCTACACATAATAATGTACTTGTACTTTACTTTAGTTACTAGGGTATTCCATTTAGTCATTAGAATTCTTAATTGTATTGTAATGTTTTACCTCTTATCATCACCATTTTTTAAATATACTCATTAAATCTCAATTAAGATAATTTAAGTATTAATTAAGTGTTATCATCCACCAAGTATGTTTTTATTATTATTATTTTATAACACACTAGCAGATCATAGATTGTTCGTTTTGTTGTTATTAAATGTTTGTCTAGTCTGTTTTTTTAAATGGGAAGAAATGAACAATTTGAAAATTTTTAATGAACCAATCCAGCACTAATTACACACCGGTAAACTATTCCAAATGGTCACCACGCAATCTGTGATCAATTATAATTTGGAATCCTGTGTTTTTTGAGATGAGGATAGTGCAACACCTGCAAGTCAGCAGATAAAACTGTGTTGCTGTATTTTATGTACCCCTCATAAGCAAAGGGGGGACCCCAGGTTAAAAACAAAGAAAGAGTTTCCATTTCCCTGTTAGGCAGTTGTATCACGCCAGTCAAGCCCGTCCCTATGTGCCCACTGATAACTTACTTTTAAAAAAAAACTTGATCATTTAAATCTAATAATTTCTTTACTGTCCAAGTAGTGGAGGATAAAGAATACAGAGTGTCACCACCCCTATTCATCCCGTGGGTGTTGTAAGATCTGACTATGGGAACAAACTACGCAGGACAACAACACTGCAAAGAAAAGGAAAACTTGAAACAAACCCTATACCAACCCGTCTGGCCAGCGTGGTATAGTAGGCCAAAACCTGCTTTCTAAAGAGAGGCCTATCTCCATCATCATCATCATCAACAGCTTTTAATAGTCCAATGCTGGACATAAGCCTCTCCTTAGAAAGGCCTATCTCCAGCAGTGGACTATTAAAGCAAAAAAACAGCCTTTAAAGTAATCATCATTATCAACAGATAATGATGATTACTTTACAATTTCCCATTCCCTTACATTTCTACCCAATGACAAGCCAGTAAATAAAAAATATCATTTGTACACCCTTGGTAAAAGGACACCAGAACATCTAGAAAGGCACTTATAACAAAATATATATACATTCAAGCCCAAATTCAATTGTTTTCATATATTTGCTAGATTTTAGAAGCTCAAAAGTATGTTTTTATTTACCATTTGTCTCATCCATATTTACAAAAATGTTAAGTTAGTTTGTGAATGCTTTTAGCTCAAATTCACTTCAAAAATGGAGTTAATCCACTTCAAAAGCGGATTTTATCAATTTTTTGCGTCAGTTTTGTTGCCACAATATGCCACCGCGAAGCATAGTGGTACAGCTAGTTGTTTATTAAAACACTCTTATTTCATCCAACTGTTAATGGTACTACTGTTCGTCATTAATCTTTCTATAAAACATTAATTTAAAGAATCAGGAATACGACAATTTTTCTTTAAATATTTTTATGATGTTTCCCTCTTATTTGTAGTATTCTAGGTCTTCTCCTTGTTTGTTTGTGTCTCAATAGCGATATGTAATATGTATCTGTGTATTGGTTCATAAAAATAATAAAAGAATTCAAAGAATAAAACTGCATGTTACTAATAAGTAATTATGCAGGTACGTATATTATTTACAGAACGACGAAATCAACTTACATTAATAGCCCAAATATCAACGTAATTAACAGCTTTACAAAACATCACATGCATAGATTATTTAAGAACATTTAGTAGTAGTGTTTTAGTACATTTTAGCGAAAATGTTACTCACGGCAATGCGGTATCGGAGCGGGATGAATGACAGCAGACGCATTCGCGTAGTTTTGAGCCGTAGGTACAACACCGCCGTTGTTTTTGTAATTGATCGTGGAGTTACTACTTAAATCCTCTTCAGCTTCATCATCAGAATCACCATAGTTGGCTATTAAACCAGCCAACGAATTCATCTTGCTCACGTTCATCAAAATTAACAACACGACAGTTCTCTTTAAGGTTTATAGATTTGACTGCTAAATGTAGTTGTTATTGGACATTAAAAAATCCCACACGAAATTCTAACATTCACATGTACGACTGCGTGACTATAACTACAGATTGTGGTAATTGACTTGTAACTGGTTACCGAAATACCTAAATGTCCGAAATAATAAAATCAATAACTCAACCAGCCCATAGAGCAAAATGATTCCATAGCGTAAAATAAGTGCTACCCACAGACAATAATTTCATTCTACCACTTTTTTATCTGCAATTCAATTAATTATTATTTTAGAATTAATAATTGCTTTATCTTAATATATATAAATCTCCTGTCACGATGTTTGTCCGCGATGGACTCCTAAACTACTTAACCGATTTTAAACTAAATTGGCACACCGTGTGCAGTCTGGTCCAACTTAAGAGATAGGATGGCTTAGATCATTAATTATAGTCGCAATTTTATTTCATTGCAAATTATTGGTCTATAATTAATTGACAGTCACAATTATCTGTTAACTCCAAAAGATTCTAACAGATGTCGATACTTTTCGACTGGATTGAGTAAGTAATCAATAGATGGCACTGCTATGGTAAACCGACAATGTATATGGCAAAACAACGTTTGCGGGGTCAGCTAGTATTAAATATACTGTATTTTAAATAACATACACATACACAAATAGACGTTATAACGACGTTTAACTTCCAACAGAATAGACTAACATATTCAAAATACTCTGTGATAAACTAATATTGAAAAATTATTATTTTTTTAGCAGCATTCATTTGGAAGTATGCAAGGTTTCAGAAAAGAACTTAATGAAATTCCATTTTTAAAGTGTATTTTCAAACTGTTTACTAATTTTGTACCTAAGTTCATGGATTAACCGAGCGGGTGCCGGGTCGATCGCATGATAGTTGGGGGCAACACAACAAATTTTCATTAAGAAAAGAAAAAAAAAAAAAAACATTTATTTCAAATCACTATTAAACACTTGTGTTGGGAGTGACTCGCATGTTCACACTCGGGTTTGCTTAGATTTAGATAACAATAACAAATTTAGTAGAAATGGTACATAATAAAACTTCAGCTCAATTTACTTCAATTACAAATGGGTGGTCAAGAAAGTGGGTCTCGGTTGCCCCACCCTATACCGGGATACAGTAAGTGATGACAGGTTGTGCCAAGGCACAACAACAAATTAGTTTCATCATAACATATCTCAAGGATTTAAAAATCCAAATTAGCTTCCTGACTCTAGAAGTGATAAAATCAATTTGAAGATGCCAGCGTGTCTTTGATCGACCATAATAACGAGGTATTTTGTACAGCTGACCTTTTGAATGGAGGGCAGTCAGAAGTTAGTTCATGTGGGTTTGAGCAGCAGTATATCTTGATACTAAAATCAGATCCACGCTGAGAGCTAATGTAGAGGGTGAAACATATATAATTTGATTTTGGGAAATTAAGGGTCAAAAGTGTTTGGTTAAGCCAGTTTGATACTATTTTGGGAACAGCCTCAGTCACTTGCCGCACTGCTTCAAAGAAGATACCAGAAAAAATAATAACAGTGTCATCGTCGTAGGTGAATGTCCTTCCCCGACGATACAGTGGAGGTTACAGTGTTACACAGTTAGTTTATATAGATAAGAAAGAGCGTCGGGCCGAGAACACTCCCAAGCGGGACGCCAAAACTGACATTTTCCTTGGCGAGTTATAAAGGCGTCTATTTTTACTTCTTGTGTTTTATCATTTAACTAACTGTCAAAAAGTGAGAGTACGTTTCCAATGCTCTTAAGCCTGCGCACAAAAATAGAATAGGTAGGTATAGGCTTAGGGAGTAGATAGATAGATCGATAACTCTTTATTGTACAATAAATTATGGTCATAATTACAAATTTGAGTCTTATAATCTAGGGTCAGTTACACAAATAAAGTAAAACAAGTTATATAAAGTAATTGTACAATTGGCGACCTTATCGCGATTTGATCTTGATTTCTTCCCGACCTCGGACCCGAACCCGAAGGTCGGGTCCGAGTGGAGGTTGTCCTCCCGGATCCTCTCCGCCGCCTTCTTCTGCAAGGTGACGATTTCGCAGAAGGATGCGACCGCGGTGAAACATATATCACTACCGGCCATGGAGCGTATGACGGTAGGGAGAGGTCCCCTCACTGCAATCGTAGTGGTGACAGGTGGGACTCAATTGCCTCCTAGCAACCGAGTGCCCAATACATACTTACCTTTAGCTTAGCTATGCTTTATCGTTAGTATGCAGATTACCGAGGAAGTCTGAAGATTATCTAGTCGGACTCTACCAGATAATCTACAGGATAGTACGATAATCTGCACTTTAACTGATTTACGCACATTAGCGGTAAATATACTTAAGAGCTAATGTAATCTATTTTACTTGGTAACGATTCATAGTCCATGAATTGAGTGGAATATCGTTGAGTTGAGTGAGATGAGTGTAGATAGTAATAAAATTTGTATGAGTTTTGAAATGGCGGCATTTTGAATGAGCGCTCACCGCAGCGCTATAACCCGGCAATCTCGTGCGCGACCGTCCCGCGGGGTGACAGACAGTGGCGGGGGCGAGGTAGCGCGTCATTCTAGCACAAGGCTACACACGATTCCCTTCCCCGCTACACCACCCGCTACCCGATGACATCTTGAGTACCTCGTCCCCGCCATCGTCTGTCACCCCGCAGGACGGTCGCGCACAACGTTTTTTAAAAAAAATAAAAAATAAAAAATAAAAAATAAAAATATGTTTATTTCCACCACAAACGATAAAATGTACAGTGAATTACAGAGATTAGTGCAAAAATAAAAGTTGTAGTTTGAGGTGGACTGGAGCCTAAACTAGGTCAATACCTGTATTTCAGGACTCCAGGATTCACACCCGCGCGGTTAAGTTAGTCGGTTAAGTTTTGTGGTGCGTTTGAGTGTGTGTGTGTGTGTGTGCGCGTGTGTGTGTGTGTGCGTGTGGGTTCGTGTGTGTGTATGTAAGTAAAGTTTTTGTGCTTGTAGCGTGAAGTTTGCGTCACTTAACAATTGTGATAAGTGATTCTGTGTCTGTATATGATAGTTTAATTAGATAATTGTGGATAGCAGATTTACACTTATATATCGTTTTGGAGAAAATATTTAATATTGTGTTCAACTTATTGTACAAATACAATGCAAGAAAGATATTTTGTCGTCTGAGAAATGCAGTTTTATGTTGAACTGGGTCACATATTCTATTTCTTCTCCGGGTTGAGTACGCAATATGTGGGTCATAGTGAGTTACTTTATGTATACGGAGGATACTATTTAATATAAATATTTGACGAACTGTCATGACATCGGCATCTTTATATAAATTGATTGTTGGATAACAAAAAGGCTTTCTGAGCATGACCTTGAGGATTGATCGTTGGGCACGCTCAACTTTTATTATTTTAGTTTTATAAGTTCCGCCCCAGACTGGTATACAATAGGAGAGGATTGATTGAGCAAGAGCATAGTAAATGGTTTTTAATAATTTAGGCTTGAGTATATTACGCAGTTTTTTAAAGATCCAAATCATTTTACGCATTCTGGCAGAAAGAAGATTTATATGCGGAGCCCAAGATAACTGTTCATCAAGTTGAACTCCAAGGTATCTTATGCTGTTAACTTTTTCGAGTTGTGTACAGGGACATGTCAATGCATTTTGATTATAGCAAGTGTGTAATTTTATATTGACATTATTTAGGTTTGGCTTATGTTTGGTGATGGAGAAAGTAATATATTTGGATTTAGTTGTATTTAATGTCAAGAGGTTTCTTTTTAACCATAAGGAGGTCTGGTGGAGTCCTTTTTCTGCATGTGATTGTACCTCAGCCCAAGTCTCTCCCTGGAATATGAGCGCTGTGTCGTCGGCATAAGAGAAGACAGAGCCGTTAGTTGGGTTGTGCTGGCAGAGTTCGTTGATGTAAATGAGGAAGAGACTTGGGCCAAGGACACTTCCCTGCGGGACGCCGCACGTGATTGGTAGAGCAGTACTAGTTAGATCCCCAATTTTAATTGACTGGAATCTATTCGTCAGGAAGTCTTGGAGGAGCTTAAGAGGCGTGCCGCGTATACCAACTGCTTCTAGTTTTTTCAAGAGGATGGTTGTAGAGACCGTGTCGAATGCCTTCGCGAGGTCTAGGAAAACACCCAAGCATTTGCGACCCTGATCCAACGTACTTGCTACGTGATTCACCAATTTAGTTACGGCGTCTTCAGTAGATTTGTTGGGTTGAAAGCCAAATTGAGCTTGAGAGATGATGTTTTCTTGAACGAAAAATTTCATAAGGCGTGTGTTGATAATTTTTTCTAATAATTTAGAGATACCGGTCAATACGGAGATGGGTCTATAATTTTCGACACAGTCTCTACTCCCACTTTTGTGTATTGGATGTATCAGTGAGCGTTTCAAACTATCAGGAAATATGCCGCCTCTCAAACATATATTAAAAATGTGTGTTAGAATTGGAGTTATTACATTCCTTATTTTCTTAAGAAATTTGACAGGTATGCCATCCCATCCGGTAGCGGATTCGTTTTTTAGTTTAAGGATTAAAGAGTCTACTTCAAAATTATCGGTTTCTAAAAGCACAAAAGATTTGATTCGAGACGTGGTTTGGATGTCACATAGGATATTAGACGTATCCGTTCGTTTCGGCCATTTTCTTCCCGATTTCAGCAAAGTAACGGTTTATGTTATTTATTGTAATTGATTTCTCATTAGTATTAGAATTAAGTAGTTCTATGGGTGGTTTTCTATTTTCATTAGTATTAGTTGCATTTCTTATAAATTTCCATGTCTGCTTAGAATTTTTACATTTTTCCGACTCAGATCTTTCATAATTGTTTTTGATTTTACTAAGAAGTTGGTTACAATAGTTCCTGTATCTAAAATAGGTAGTTTTGAGGATGTCATTTGTCGGCGCGGCCTTAAGTTTTTTATGAAGAGCATCGCGGTGAGCAATACATCTCAGCAAGCCTGGGGTGATCCACGGTTTTATTATGTACTTTCTGTTAGGCACCTTGTGTACTGTTGTATTATTGACCAGTGCGACGTTGATGGACTATAGGTGAACATTATTGTTTAAATTTACAATAATTTGTTATGTTACTATGTGCAGTGTCAGTTCCTGTAATTGTAACCTACTTGTTGTGCCCCTAGAGATTTCCCACGAAGATTATTTTATATTCTCGTTGTTTGTATTTTCTGTATGCCTGCCACGGTTGGCGGCCTAAGGACAAAGGTTAGGTGGGCGGTATTTTGAAGTAATCTTTGGTTGACATGCATGCATACAATTAAGAATTAAGAGTCTTCGTAGTTTAATAATATTGGTGATATTTTAAAGTGATACCTATCGTTAGAAAAAGTCCCGAGTATTATTAATATTTTAAATAGTAACTATGTCATCCCGTAAAGCTATTTATTACGGAGATATTATTATGTATTATAAATCATACGCATGTGGTTTGTTTTTTTTCTGTGATGTATCTTAATAGAAGAACGTTGTAAGTCCATCTAGTTACAACGTTATAATTTTGTAAAAGTGGGACTGGACTAATGGCTTTCACCGTACCCAGGAACACATCTTCTATACAAATAAATAAAATTGGAGTATCTGTTTGTAATATTAAAATAACCGCTTTTTACTAAATGCATATGTATGTTTACACGGTACATATGCCAAATAACATTTTTTACATTTTTTGTCTGTCTCTCTGTCTGTTTGTTCCGGGTAATCTCTGGAACGGCTGGACCGATTTCGACGGGACTTTCACTGGCAGATAGCTGATGACATAAGGAGTAACTTAGGCTACTTTTTTTAGACTAGCTTCGCCCCGCGGCGTTGCCCGCGGTTATAACAACAAACGCGTGCAACACCGCGGGTCTCAGCTAGTATGAAATAAAATTCATGAGTAATTCATGGGAAGCAGTTTATATAAATAAAACTTGCAATATTCACAGTGTAGATTTTATTTACTAGATACGTTAATCTTATTTATTTATGGGCACATGTATAAAAGTATAAATAGACATTAAAAACTAAATCTTAGTTTGTTAATTACATGTAACAGGTATAATTACAACTTAATTAAATATATAGCAACGTTTATTTATTTCGTTAATATTCGATTACACTGCTCAAAATGCTCGTATTCAAACAAAAGATGGCGATAAGAACAAGATGAATATTTTTACAATTTTCATCAACCAACTCGGATTTAAAAAAAGGCTGGAGAATATTTTCAATTTTTTTTAAACTTGTGACCTTACCCATGAGAGACAGAGAGCTGAAAATCGCATGCAAAGATAATAATCTAGTCCTGCGAGTATATCTGTAAGATTACGAGAATCAGCGTTTGCATGTTCAAACGATTATGTGTTTTGTTTATACCGTTGTAGCTGCTAAATTCGAATCCGACATTGTTTAAAAAATATAACAAGTGTTACTAGACATAGGACTTAAACACAGTAAACTGTGATTTATCATTCCATTTTTGCGTACGTAGGTTAGGGTTGCTATGTAGGTAGGTTAGACGCTATGTAACAATAAATCTAGTACATATTTATTTAATTATTATGTAATGGTAGCTTTATATAATAAAGTAATTACTAGATTTACTGTTAAATAGGCGGAATAGGGTCTTTATGCATCGTCTAAAAACAGCTTATTGGCAACAACGCGTGATTAAGTAGTAACCCTAACCTACGTACGAAAAAAACCAATGATAAATCACCGGTCTTGCCCAGTTCATTGTGATTTTGTCCCATGCCTAAGTGTTACATACTCTTTGTTCGATTTGCGCACTGCTTTAACCTGCTATAGTCGCGCAGATATCTATGGGATTAAAAGAGCAAGCATGCCACTATTCTAGTTATTTTTTTATCATCTGCTCAATCTCAGCTGACACTTTATAAAATTAATTTTCCAATCATTGTTTTTATCGTACCTAATGTTAATAACGCTACTATTATTAGATATAGGGGCTTTCTGGTTTCAAGACGCGTTTCAGAAGTAACAAGGTTGGGGTTTTCAGGTATTATTTACCTACCTATTCATTTACGCTAAACATTAGTTTATTATATACTTTTATGCAAGTATTTACATTAATAAGCTTGGTACTGATTTATACCTTGTTATCAAACGGTATATTTATAAACACCTAATTTTTTTATACATAAACTATTAACGTTGAAGCATAAAAAAATAAATGAACCATATTTAATAGAAATAATTAAGAATTGGGTATCTTTACGTTTTATTTGACAAAATAATGCTTAAGATTATTACATGTTAAATAAACTATGTACGACACTGGTATAGTGCACTTTGTGTGCGTTTACAAAATATATTTTTAACAATATCTTGAATAATATATTGATTACTTATTTATTTAACAGACACAACTATGACCAGGATTCGTCTATGGTTGTTGAAAGATACCATATTATGAATTATTTCTGTTTAGTGTTTGGTATAAATGTACTTTATACTAAATCATACATAATATGACAGTTGACTGAGATATTAAGCAAAATTTTATATTTATTATAAACGTTAAAGGCATGCTCTTTGAAATAAAGACGTGTGACGTCATACCTTGCTACCGTCAAATCAATAGCTTATCATACTAAACGTATAATTTTATGAGGAATGTTTTTTTTATCGTAGAGAGCTACTGTATTGCTCACTATTCTTCTCAAAATCTTTATAGAGATATGGCTTACTAACTATGTAGGTACATATTTTTATTAAAATTAATAACATAATTTATTAATAAATTATTATGGGGCAGCAGAAACAAAAATATGAACTGGTTTCCTTTACTGACAATTAAACACAGAGCTTACTAAACTACTGTGGCTATTTTATTCTTCTCGTCTGCTCTGTTTATTGTTATTACGTGGCATATAAAGAAAGGTATAGCAGTATTCCAGATTGGCAAATATAACACAAAACTATAAACTTTACAGGTGACCTCCCCAGAAGGAATAATAAGTAATTACTGGGTAACTACAATATTATCAAAGATCTCAATAAATTGGTGCGTGATTGTGGTTTTTTTTAAAACGAAGATGAGTCGTAGATGTAATTAATGAAAAACTTTAGTTAATTGGCTATTTCATGCTAATGTCTAGTACGTATAAGTTACATTGTCAACAATTTGCAAAGCTTATGAGGTAAGCATATTGTTATTAATTCAGTAGTTGAATACCTATTATATTCAATGAAGTGGTTTTGATTTGTTACCGTTCTACGATGCAAGGTTCGCAGGTACCAGGTATCAGATAAGCTGGGTGGCATTGGGGACATTTTGGATTCTCCCCGTAGCTTGCCCTCCCTGGCCTAGCTACTTTCACTTGGAACGATGTTTGAGCATTATCACTCTCGTATCCAGGATGTTCTTTGTCCAAGGGAAAAACGTAGTCAGGCACAAAATAAGAACTAATGTTATATTCTACATGACTTGGTTCAGGAGTTGTAGTTATTGGCTCTGGTCTTGTTACTGCGCTAAATGGGTTTGTGCCCTCAAATTGCCCAACCGCTCTTGGTTGGTGTAAATTGGCAGAGCTGGTTTCGTTATCTTCTTTGGGAGGAACTAAGTCAAAAGCTGGTACGGCCCATCTCCATTCATAATAAATTGGCGGTCCTAACGTTGTTAAAGCAATCGGTTCAGACTTGGTTTTTGGTGGCAGAAGGATTTTTTCAGGTTCTTCTATACCTGTCTTCTTTTGAAAAGTTTTAAATGTATTTTCAGAAGCAGGTTTAGATTTGGTATTAACAGAATGATATCTAGAACCGTCCGAGAACGTCTTGTCATTTTTAAAAGTGTTTAGTTTGCTGTTGTCGATGTTTTTAGTTTTTCTGATATTTCTATCATCTTCGTCGCTTACTTGTTCATCAGGCAGCTCCGAATTTAATTCTATAATCTCTGATTTTGATATCGCAGTTTTGGAATCTTCATCAGAAGTTGGATCGAAACGTTTGAGGAACTTAAAAACGGGCGGTTCAGCGTGTGGAGTGGTTTCATCGTAATCTTCTTCGCTTGAGCTTGCAGTCACTGGAGAGTAAGGCGGCAATAAATCTACTGATGGTCGATTTATTTTTGAATGATTCTTGAGGGGTTTATGGTCACGTGGTGAATTGAATTGTCGTTTGGTTTCTTCAGCTTGATCGATGTTATTATTATTTTTGCCTACATTTGTATCATGGCGACGATTGGCTCCGAAAAGGTTCTGACTTTGCTTTGTATCCAGGTCGTTATCTTCTACTTCATCAACCTGAAATTAGATAAAAAGATTGTAAGTTTTTTTCATTTTAATCAAGGAAAGTTGAGTTGTAATAAATATATGATATGCCTATTTATGTTTATTTTAAACAATGAAATAAAACGAAACATAATATATAAGCGTAGCGGATGCGGATGGCGTAGTAGTTTGTGTAACGGACTGCTATTCCAGGTCGCGGGTTCAATTTCCGCTCAAGTCAAATATTTGTGTGCATGAACATGTAATGTTTGATTTGGTCTGGGTGTTTCTATTTATAATATGTATGTATTTACAAAAAAAGTATATATGTATTTATATCAGTTGTCTAGTACCCATAGTACAAGCTCTGCTTAGTATATTATTATTATTATTAAGATACATTATGTTTAACATACTAAGTTAAATTTAAAATTATCATTGAATAGTAGTCAAATGGGGTGACCTAGGCCTGGATAGAAAACTAAAACCAAAGACGTGATAAAACTGCACTTGGTTGGGCGTGATAAAACCCACGCAAAAGGTGCAATTAAGTTGAATGAGTGATATTTATATCACGTCGACCCAAAATTATTGATACCTACAGACAGCATTTAAATGTCATTATCATCGCCATGTCGATTGAGCTATAGTAGGCCATTGACCCAGTTTTTTGTAGCCTGTTACTTACTACATTTTTCTCTTTTATTTATCTGTTGGGGGATACCACAAACAATAAAATATATGAACTATAACAATCCTCTGCTTTGCTCCGGTCGTGTATATTCGCGACATAGTTATTAAGGCATTAAAAGCATAGTATAAGTGTTTTTAGTCTTCTAAAAATACAAACTATTATAACTTAATCAAACACAAAGTTGCAATCATGTGAAAAATATAAAATATATAAAAAAACAAAATTTGGCATGAATGTAACCAGTGGTACAGAAAAAGACTGGTTCCTTTGATATTGAAAAATATTCACCAGGAAAATATGAGTGTCCTTTAGCACAACCATAACTAAAAGTTTAGTTAATTTAGCCTACCTTAGTATCAGTCTTGAGTTCGTCGAAGTACGGGTTGTAAGGTGGCATAGACAATATGTCCGGTCGAGGAGTGCGAAGGCGCATCTCATCGTCCGACACGAACGGCTTGTCGCGTTGACCTGAAAAAAAAAAATAAAGTTACAATAAAACACTTTATTGGTGTTTACTTTACTTTACTGATCTCAAAGTAAATATAAATATATTAACCTAGGACATTTTAAGCATGGAAGCGAACATCAGTAAAACATTAACCATGAGAAAGCCAAGAAATGAAAAAGGGTACGCCATATCCTAGTGCTTCTAGAGTCAAGGCTTGTGAAGGAACTGATGTTATGACCCTCCAACACAAAGTAATGACTACACTAACCTCTATTGTACAAGTACAGGTACCTGCATAATGGAGATCAGCGGTGTGTAGTTATATAGTAGTATCTAAAATAGACGGAATGTCTGGTGACGGTGTCGTAAGTGCCGACTAAGAGAGCAAACTACTCAGGTAAACATCACTGCAAAGAGAAGAAAAACTTGAAACAGACCCTATACCAACACGTCTGGCCAGCGTGGTATAGTAGGCCAAAGCCTCCTTTCTAAGGATAGGCATATGTCCAGCAGTGGACTATTATAGTCTGTTGATGATGATGATGTTGATGACTGACCTCCATTATACGAGTACAGGTATTTGTATAATGGAGATTAGCGGTGTGTAGTTATATAAAAGTAGTATGTATTCGGTGTGGTGACGGATTAAGAACGCGGAGAGTCACCACCCGTATTCATCCCATGGCTGTCATAAGAGCCGACTAAAGGAGCAAACTACTCAGGGCAACAGCAGTGCAAAGAGAAGGAAAACTTGAAACAAACCCTATACCAACCCGTCTGGCCAGTGTGATATAGTAAGCCAAAACGTCTTTTATGTCTAGCAGCGGACTAATAAGGCTGTTAGCATGATGTCTTCACTAGATGGCGTTGGAGGTAGTATTTGTGGTAATTGGATATCGCCACATGCATAACGCGCTTTGTTTGTGTTTGATGTCTTATCTTTCTTCTTTAATAAAGGTGATAATTGGGTACGATATTGTATGAGATATTTCCGGCAGGCTTCTAGGTTACGTCCTTACTACATTATAAAGGATAAGTAGTATATAAGATAACTGATTATTGTGCGGTAATCATTTAATTGTGCGCCTATCATTTATTTGAAACGTGAATGTGGGTTGTTAATTGCTTTAATAAAAAAGTTTCTTTGTGATTCATCCTTTTTGGAGGAACACAGTAGGTCGTTTAATTGGATGTTTATTGTTATAACTTCACACTTAAGTACTTCCTACAAATTAAAATAAAAAACAATTTGATTATAATTATACATCGTGCTATAATGAAAAAAGAAGTTAGTTCGTTGTGATGTGGTTATCACCGGAGTTACTGACCTAATTTTGAAATATGTAACTTTAAGTATTAATTATTTATAAAAATTGTAGAAAAAATATAGGTTTTATACATATATATATCCAGCTCTTCCTCCGTCACGTCAAAGATGATCAGAGACGATGAAGAAGGGCGTGAGGGACTACCGAGGTCCCTGGGGAAGAGGTCATCTACCACTCTTCCCACAAACTCAGGGTCCAAGGTCTTCGTCAGTGTCGGGACCCACGGTCTGAGCTTGCCACGTACAAGTTTGTAAGGGCGAATAATAACATACATATACATATTATAAACACCCAGACACAGAACCAATGATCGTGCTCATCGCACAATTATTTGTCCGCGGTGGGTATCGAACCCTCCGACTTAGAAGTCAGGCTCACTAACCACTGGACCAACAGGCCTGTTAGCCAGGATCACCTGATGGTAAATGATTACCGCCACTCATGGACACATCAGCAACTTTTTTTGCCGCAATTTGTTTCTTCTCCCAGAATCAGACTCCATACCTGCTTGGTACCAATATTTTATGTACGAGTATACATATTTTTAAGTGAGTTAATCTGTATGCATATAATAATATAATATTCTAACTCATTCACACAACGCCATCTAGTCCCAAACTAAGCAAAGCTTGTACTATGGCTACTATACAACTGATATAAATACATGCATACTTTTTTTTGTAAATTCATACTTATTATACATAGGAACACCCAGGCAGTATGTCATAATATAAGTATGTATTCGTACCAAGCAGGTTTCGAACTCACAAACCCGAGTTCGATTAATGAGGGTTTTGTGAAATGTTCCACGTGAGATGGCAGTACTGTAGCGCCAGGTCCAACCACCTGTCAAAACACATACACGATTTGTATTTTTCGAGCATTTTTTTGGTTAATAATTCTTAAAAACGTTACAAAAGGAATATTGATTTCTAAAATGCCACAGTGTTGTGCCTATGTGTGCAAATAAAACTTTTGCGCCTCTCTTTTTGAGCTCAATCTTCAGTTTGGCAACGTTTCTCTGCCCGTAATCCATAATAAACTCAATAACACTTCCAAATTCATAGAATTTTCAATTATACGTTCGGTAAGAATCTGTGCTAACTGACAGCTGTTTGGACCTGACGCATACGAAGCGCCGTCTGGTGGCAGAAAAAGTATCGAAAACCCTCATTGTTCAACGACAGCACTGCACTGTTGTTGGTAATTTCATCCTCTGATCCTTTTTACCAAACTAAGTTGGGGTCAGCTTTCAGTCTTCTATGATACGGGTGAACTTCGATTTTTAACGTGGAGCGACTGGCAGCAGACTGTGGAGGTCTATCCAAGTTCTAGGCAATATCGAAGTTTTTTTTTTTTTTCATTTATTTTGGCACACACAGTCATTTAAAACAAAAATTACACAATAAATATACATAGGGTGATAGACAACGAGTGCCGAAATCAGTTTTTTGTAATAATTAAACTCTATGTGTTGACTTAGAAAGCTGCATGAGTCACAGATGTTACAGAGTAAAGTTCTTATATTAATACTATGCAAGCTTTTACATATCATATTGTGTAAGACAAAACATATCAAATAAAGAAAAATAAAAACATGAAAAGAACAAGAAACAAGGGCGGACACCATATCATAACAATCGTGTCGAGGAATATAATGCAGGCTACGTAATACGCAGCATACATATGTTTAAGTTTTTTACCTATTGACACAGATTTTTAAACAACATTAGCTTAAACTTTTGCAATGAGTTACTAAATAAATCTATATCAGAGAAGCTCTTATTGTAATTATTGGGGCATCGTGTGAAAAAATTATTTTGACAGTATTTTTTTCGAGAACGAAGTGGTGTAAATATCTTACCGAGAAGTGAGGAGCGTACAGGAAGTCGAAGTTTATCGATGAAGTTAATTTTGGAGAGAATTATGTTTCAGTCAATACAGTTATTTAAAATTTTGAATAGAAAAGTTATGTCAAACTGCGTGCGCCGATCCCGGAGGCTGAGTAGTTTATATCGAGCTAAAGATTCCTCATAAGAGCCTGATGGGGCACAGTTGCGATAATTTAGAATTCTGATGAATTTTTTTTGGACCTTTTGCTAACTGATCTATGTGTTCCTTGTAGAATGGGTTCCAAATAATGCTTCCAAAGTCCAAGATAGACATAACAAAACTAAAATTAAGCAATTTGATAGGGGTACTATTTTTAAAAGGCTTAATGACTCGAAGTTCTGTAAATAGACTGCTGTCGGACTTTTTAGGATTGCCACTACCTGTAACGATTGACAAAGACGTTCGTATAGCACTGGGACCGATGGCTTAAAGTGCTCTCCGAGGCACAGAAGGATCTTAATATGTTAAGAAGGGTCACCCATCCATAGACTGACTTGGATAGGATTGCCTAAATTTAAAAATTGTGCTAAAGTACTCGGTCTCCAGTACTTATCATATTTTATACGCCGAAAGTTTCATACAAAATGCGTGACCCTTTAGAAAAAACAGATAATTAGTAATAAACTACGGAACCACACATTGCGCGCTACTTGATATACACTTGGCCATTTATTTTTATTTTTATTACACGTAATAACCTACCTAAAATAAATATTTACCAAGTAACAGGCCTTCCTGCAACCGACCTTATAAAAATCCTTTTCAATCAATCAACCACTGGTATTACTGGTAAACAAAATTTACCTGAACAGTAATTACTTACGATGAATTCACTTAATTAGTTTTTATTTCTTACAATAGAGTTTGATTGGTACACAAATAGGATAGTTAGATCATTTTGGTGGTTGGTAATGAGAAATACACGGGTGGCGCAGTGGTTTAAGTAGTCGCCACGCGGCTTTCTACTTCGCTGAGTGTTGTGGGTTTGATTTCCACATAGGACGACACTTTGGTGATTCACAAATTGTTGTTCTGAGTCATGGTGTTCTTTGTATCCGTTTCATGTATGTTTGTAAAGTCCCACGCGACACAGGATATAATCCTAATGCGGGTGTGTGAATAAATGAATATTTTGCTACTCCAATATATATTCAATGCAATCATCATCATCAACAGCCTTTAATAGTCCACTGCTGGACATAAGCCTCTCCTTAGAAAGGAGGTATTGGCCTACTATAACACGCTGGCCAGACGGGTTGGTATAGGGTTTGTGTCAAGTTTTCCTTCTCTCTGCAGTGCTGTTGTTCTGCGTAGTTTGCTCCCTTAGTCGGCTCTTACGACACCCACGGGATGAATTGGGGTGGTGACAATTTGTATTCTTAATCCGTCACCACACGGACAAATATAAAATAAACTTAATAAAAGAATATTAATTATTAATAAGAATATTAATTGGAAATGCGATGCGATTATAAATGCCCGACAGGTATCATCATTTATTATATTATAATAATACTAGCTGACCCGGCAAACGTTGTATTGCAAAACAAAAAAAAACTAGGGATGGGTCACCCTTACCATTTAGGGGTATGAAAAATAGATGTTGGCCGATTCTCAGACCTACCCGATGTGCACACAAAATTCCATGAGAATCGGTCAAGCCGTTTCGGAGGAGTACGGGAACGAACATTGTGACACGAGAATTTTATATATAAGATTAATTATAAATGCGATGCGATCACAAATGCCCGACAGGTATCATCATTAATTATATCGGACCTGTTATAATTATAACTTAAAATTAAAGCTACTGAAATTGTAGGTCAAATTCGCCAAGGATTTATAGAGTAACTAGATTTGCTCACGACTTCGCTCTTTTTAGTACAGATTTTGCTAATTAAATCAGTTAAATAAGAGAGGTTTTTTTTTGGTTTAAATATACCCTACATTTGCTGTGTCTTTCACAGTGTGTGTGCGTTGGAGAGTCCAGCTTTGTTTCGACACTTAATGGCTGGTTGGACCGGACTAATACCACGGCCTCACAGAATACCGGTAAAAGTTCTAGTCACCTGGTGACCCATACTCATTTACCCCCTATATATAATTGGAAAACCTCATGATGAACCGTGTGGCAGCTTATAAAATACGATCCGTCTTTTATACTTTGGACTATTACTAATAGTAACAAGTAATAAATAAAAAACTCAACTGCAAAACGACAATTTAAAAGTAATGTACTAAAAAGACTGAATCAGCATGAGGTCCGACAGAAATATGGCCCTGCCAACATGCATTCAAAAGCCCACTAAGGACACTTGGGTTTTTTAAACGGATAAAACAATACTTTAACTGTCGAAATTCATCAGCCATTTGGAAAATACGAGGTAATAAAGAAATTTACAAACAAACATACAAGATACGCCTTGCCCTTCCTTGGCAGTCGGATAAAAAGAGTAAACTCATTAGATATGACCTCGCAATAAATGAAATAATTTATATATGCTTTTAGAAGGTAACTACAAAATATAAATGATTATTTAAAATGCCAATCACATAGTTCACTTGTAGAAATATAGTTAATATATTATTGGTATAACATCTGGTTCGCTAACTTGACGGCGCTAAAGTTGTTCTGGTAAAAAACTAGGATAATTTATTGATTTACAGGGTTTTTTTTTTTTGTTTTTAAAAGACAACAATGCGGGAGCATTTGAAATATATCCTGTGTCGCGGGGGACTTTACAAACATACATGAAACGGACACAAAGAACACACAGACTCAGAACAACAATTTGTGGATCACACAAAGTGTCGTCCCATGATGGGTTTGAACCCACAACACTCGACATAGTAGGAAGCGGCGAGGCGACCACTAAACCACTACGCCATCCGTGCACTTCCTTCATTCGTGATTATGGCGCTTTTAACAGTGTCGAAATATCGGCAACTAATTCCCGAAATAAACATGGTAAATATCCCGTTTATAATAACTTATGAAACTAGGGTACGTGCCATTTTTCCTCGAAGATGATAAAGATAAAAATTATTTCAGTGTTGGATAGCTCGATATATATCGATACAGGAGATCCATATTCCATACTAATATTATAAATGCGAAATGCGTATGTCTGTCTGTCTGTCTGTTACCTCTTCACGCCTTAACCGCTGAATAGATTTAGATGAAATTTGGTATAGAGATAGTCCTAATCTCGGGAAATGACGTATGGTAGTTTTTATCCCAGAAATCATTATTTACGGGGATGAAAAGGGAGGTGGAAGTTTGTATGGGGAAACAATAACCGCTTAACCAATTTAGATGAAATTTGGTTTGGAGATACTTTGATTCTCGAGGAAAGGAATAGGCTACTTTTTACAGCGATAACCGACATTTACGAGGGCGGAGCCGCGGGCAAAAGCTAGTAGGCTATATAACATCACGCTACGACTATACGACATCAATCATCATCACAAAAACTTGAAAACCTTTTGAGAGACGTATACATCTTCATCATCATCATCATCATCACCAACAGCCTTTACTAGTCCACTGCTGGACATAGGCCTCTCCCTAGAAAGGAGGTTTTGGCCTTCTCTACCACGCTGGCCAGACGGGTTAATATAGGGTTTGTTTCAAGTTTTCCTTCTCTTTGCAGTGCTGTTGTCTTGTAGTTTGGTCCCTTAGTCGGCTCTTACGACACCCATGGGATGAATAGGGTTGGTGACATTCCGTATTCTTAATCCGTCACCACACAGATAACCTAACCTAACGTACGAGTATACAAAATTGTGCAATGCAAGTATTTGGTGCATGTCTATTCAAAGATTTGTCTTAATAAAATTGGCAACTTACCAATGAGGAGATTAGCGTCATAATCCCTCTCGGACATTGAACAGTTGACCATGTACCAGTGATCGCAGATGAGCATGCGTTGTTGGAACAGTGTCATATTGGGACACTTGTAGCTGAACTGTCTTCCCATTCCGTCGCACATGTGGTATACCTGTAGAAGAAAGAGACAACTATATTATTAAAGAACTAAATTTAAAGGTATAATTACGGATGGTACTCGGTACATATTGGCCGGTTCGACTGGACAGAAAACTGAGAAAATAAGGAAATTGAGTAAAGTTACCTGAGACCTGACCGCTGAGACCGCTAAGTCTCAAGAGGGAGAGGGGGGGGGAAGGATTATCACTTAAAGTAATAATAATAAATCTCTTTATTGTACACCAGGTATAAATATATAAAGATTAACTTAAGCTAGGTTACACAGGTACACTTAAAGTAAGGTGTTTACAACAGCTTGTTTAGTATCTAATCTGCTAGATCTAGCATAACATTGTACACTATAATAATTGGTTACAACGAGTACCGTGTTCGAAGTTATTGCAATGTCAAGTTAACAAAAAATAAATGGATATTATAAGCACCACAACTTACATTTACCGAAACCAATCGGCTAATAGACGAGTACTCATTACTTTTGGCAGAAATAAATTTTAATATGATTTATTGTTCATGCGGCGATAGTATTTACATCTGGGAAGTAGGATTTGTATTTAGTCATGGAATGAGTACTGTTACTGTCAACTAAAATGATTTGCCATTTTCTGGCAAATCATTGGCAGGTCACACTTTCTGTTAAAATGTAATATTTCTTTGTTTATATGATCCATCATGACGATGGCCAGTTATTTTATTTCGATTTATTTTACTTTTATTTTTATTTTTTATTTAAAACTTCCTGCAATGTAATCTTTGTACTAGACGGGCTTAATGCCACATGGCATTATCTACCAGTCGGGTTTTGGAAAAATTTAGTAAGGGATAATAACATGACATGAATATACATGTATATACAGCTTAATAAACATATACATACAAATAAACATAATCTACATACAAAAAAATCTATTTTATTTTACTATAACTTATATTATGGTACGCAAGTCGTTCAACGTGCTATGACGTTGAGCGACTTGTGGACCAAGTTTAGGTGTCCACGTTTCGGCTCCGTATGTTATGACGGGTAGGACGCACTCATTGAAGACTTGCTGGCAGGAGCTGGATGCAAGAAGCCCAAAATCGATCTAAGTGGCGTGCAATGGGAGAGGCCTATGTCCAACAGTGGACTGCGATAGGCTGATAATGATGATAATATCTCTCTTTTACACCGTTTTTGTGTAGTTTGAAGAATTTGGCACGATCGCTATAAATACGACACCAATTTTATGAGCAGTGCAAAAAGTGTACAATTTATTTGACTATTTGCATAAAGTATTAACAGTAACTACAGCTTCATGCCTCGATGTGACTCAAGGACGCCATTTTAAATATTGATTTTTTTATTTAAATTTATATACAAATAGTCGGCACTGATGATATGTTACTATTCGTTATTATATACGAGTGTGTGTTAATTTATAAGTCTATACACATTTTAGCTGAAACTAAACAGAGCTTGTGAGATTTGTTGTAGGACACAAATTAAATATGCCTTTACTAGTCTAGCCATGCCTAGTCTAGCCTTTAATAGTCAACTGCTGGACATAGACCTCTCCTCAAAAATTAGGTTTTGGCCTACTATACCACGCGCTGCCCAGATGGGTTTCTTAACGGGATTTATTCTTTGCAGTGTTGTTGTCCTGCGTAGTTTGCTCCCTTAGTCGACTCTTACGTCACCCATGGTATGAATAGGGGATAACACTACATCTTCTTAATCCGTCACCACACAGACAATATATTTCATAACTAATAAGTAAATATTGAATTGCAGACATCAATAGAAACGTACCTATGTTTACAAATATTTGCACGAATGGCTATCGAATGAATCATATGAATGCTAAAACACTAAGGTTACGTTTCTAAAGAGCTTACTTACCAATACAATTAGGCACGTGAATGATAAATTGAATTTAATGGAAGGATTTTTAAAAATACCTTAACCCCCCCCCCCCCCGGTGCAAAAAGGGGGGTTGGAAATTTCTAAGAAACTTCGTTATTTTTTAGTAGTAACATTTCCAAACTCACAGTAAATATTACTGTAAAAGTAATAAAAACGTTGTTACAAATTTTTCGAAACTACCCTCATAAAGGGTAGCAAGTTAGAATAAGAACTATGTTTTTTTAACTTATCGATTTCAAACTCTTAGTACAATTATTATTTTGTATAAAAAAAAAAATTGACACATTTTTTTAACTTTTCAAAACGTAAAAGTATGTTTGTTATTCAATTACACCTAAACGGCTTTCCGGATCTGGACGAGATTTGGCACATAGATAGATTCTATTCTAGAATAGTACAGAGGCTCCTATTTATCCCCGTCAAATTTATTGACAATATTAACATTTACGCGAGCGAAGCCTTGAGCAGAAGCTATAATAATAATAATAATATTGTACCACATTCACGCAACGCCATCTAGTCCCAAACTAAGCAGAGCTTGAAATATAAGCCATTCCCTGTATTCACTCGTGTTTATACTGTTCCGCTCTTAAGGGTCATAGCGTAATGTTACATAGCTTATAACATTCCTTAAGAAATTATGTTATGGATTTCAAAAAGAATTTGCAAGTCACAATTAGTTCCATACCAGCGTGCTTTTTTTTTGTATAGGAGGGAAATGAACTGTCGGTACACCACATAGTAAATGACTACCGCCGCCGCTCAAGAGATAGTCGGCCTTTAAGTCCGTCAGAGACTTAGGGTCTTGGGTAACCTAACTCATTCGTTGAAAAGTAACGAAAGAATGCTTAACCGGTTTTCTGTGAGGCCGAATTAAGAATGAATTAAGAATACGGAGTGTATTCTTAATTCGCCACCACACGGACTAGGACGATATGAACAGAATAACTTTATAATATGTGCAAAACATATAAGATAAAACTACAGGGCTCTGTGAAGGGTTCAAAAGAGACGGCAAGCGTAACAGATTTAAAAGCATTACTACTACTATTCCATCAGTTTCGAGTTACAGGCTGGGTTGCTACACATAAAAGGATTGCATCGACATAAAAGAACATGAATGATGTACATTTATGATGATGTGATGATGTGCAAAGCATTAGTAATGATATCGTTGGATAGTAACATTATTGTTTAAAATAAATACTATAGTAGACAACAATAACATCTAGTCTCAAACTAGGCAGAGCCCGTACTATGGCAACTATTTAGCTGAAGAATTTTTAAATCTGGATACTAATATTATAGATAAATTTCACCGAGGCACTTAGTAGATGGTACGGAGCGAGAGCACGTGGAACTCCGTGGTCTCCTTCTGTGAGCAAGTTATGCTTGCGAAGGAGGCGGCGGAGAGGGATCATAAGCGCAGGCCTGGGGGTGACAGGCGCTATGTGAGCGATGCTATGGAGCGCGCGAGCCTTTGGTTATAGAACGGGAACACCGTGCTTCCCATACACGAGGGGGTCATCTACTGGCCGTAGATGGCGGCGTCCCTCGGGGATCGTCCAGGGATTTCCTTCCTAGAGGAAGCCTGGTTCCACGGCTACTAGTACCCGAGACGGAGTGCGGTTTTTGGTCGGTGGGTGGCACCCAAAGGGGATTTCCACACAGACAAAAAAAAACACATAACAGATGATCATGAAAATCGAAGATCTACTATCTGTGGCTTGGTAGCCAGGATACCTAACCTCTAGACCAGTTTATTCTAAGACCTAGCCACATATAGACACACACACATAAAAAAAGCATACATTAATCCGAACAAAACCGCGGACAAAAACTAGTAAGGCGTGTTCTCCCTTCCTGACAATACTATTCTCATAATTAATCATATACAACTTAAATAAATGTACTTAAATTAAACCTAACTAATATTGGTTCGCATAAATATAATTCGTGAAGTACCGCGTCTAATTGTGTTCAAAGGTTATATCAAATTCATGTGGTCACGGCTGCCGGTGTTACTATTTGTAAGGTTGAGTGCGCACACGCAGCTCGAGGGATGCACGATGTGGTGATTGAGTTGATTGTTTGTTTGTAGAGTAGTCATTCTAGCAATATTTTTTTTTTTTTTTTTTTTTTTTTTTTTTTCTCTTTATTTATTTTTAGGGACTTTATACATTCGTACATGTCGGTCCCATCGTACCTCATACAGATTGTTACATTACAATCTAATTAAATTTAAACAAATCTTAGTGATACGAATTTACAAAGGCTAGAGGCGGCTTTTGAAGTCGGCGCAGACAATATGTGGTGGAACATACCAACATTAATACTATTTATATTTAACTCTTTCATCAGATATTCCCTTTCAGATTGAAATCTGACACACTCCGTCAATAAGTGTGTCACATCCTCTAAAGTACCACAAACCTCACAGTTTGGTGAATTCAGTTTTTTCATCAAGAATCCAAACCCATTGAGCGGAATATGTACAGATCTCAACCTGTGGGCGATTACAGTAATTTTTCTATTGAGTCCGGTGTTGGAAAACCATGGTATATGAGGAGGCTCCGATACTATAGTCTTATACCATATTCCCTTTTCTCTCGAATTCTGATTATAATACTCTTTCCAAATTTCATGACACTTTTTTTTATATTTAGGTAATAATTCTTCATAATTAATTTTGATATTTCTTTCTGTACCACTAATGATACCTAACTTAGCCAATCGATCAGCCTCCTCGTTACCCTTTAAGCCTATGTGAGCTGGCACCCATTGCAACTTCAGCTCGACCCCTCTATTATAAAACCTGCTTATTTTAGACAGAATGTCATAAGCTATCGGTGCACCTCTGTATCCAGAGGCGCATCGAGCTATGTGTTGAAGAGCACTTTGACTATCTACGCATATTAGTATTTTCTTATTGTCACTCGATTCGATATAAGTAAGGGCTTCTGAAATTGCAAAGAGTTCCAATGTCATGATTGATACATAATTAGTAATTTTAAAATAAGTGATAGTAGTGGTTTTCGATTTCAAAGGATCATAAAAAGCCGCTCCTCCGCCATTAGCACTCTTAGACCCAT